CAGTCAGCCAAATACAAGTTACGTGTTTAAATAGTATGGCGTGGGGCGCCGTAGTGTGAAGTTTGGCGTGACACGCAAATTTGTGTAGTTCCCTGTACTGATTCGTCAGAAATTACCGGACAAGCTTGTACAGCCGTACAGGTAAAGCTTACTCACTACGCTTCGATTACGTTTAATCACTACGCCTTCAACTTGCCGGTGACCATAGCAATCTTCTTGATCGAGATCATTCGTGGGTTGGTCGGGTTGTAGAATCTTATTTATTAACATGCAATTCTATGGGAGATGTCCCTTGTTGCAACGCTAAGTCAACTACTGACTGCACAAGATTTTTGTTCTGGCCCGTAACAAGTACCTTTTTGGTCACTTAACAGTTTGCAGAAAAGCTCAAACAAAAATATCGATCGGTGAATTTATTGGAGGGGCTGATGTAAGCATCCCACAACGTACTACTACCTGCCCCCTAAATCAATGCTCGACACCCTACTGGCTAATCAAAAGACTCAGATTTTAGTATTTCTGGACTGGCGATAAAAAGTTACACGGAAAAAGTCTAAACATAAATATAGATCAACGAACAGAAATATTTGCCAATTGTTTTACAAAAGTGCCCAACTTGGACCGGCAGGGCTGTAGAACGGTTAACGGTGGTAACAATTGTGATAACGCTTGATAACAACCGCAAGTATAAGAAAACTTATTTCTACGCAAATTGTCTGCGTTTGCCTTTGTTAAATTTCTTGGGCAGACAGACAGCCAGCAGACAGGCTGCAGCATACAATGATGCTGTACATACGTAGAACAGACCTTCGACGGCTCATCAATTGTATCAATCAATTGGTCAGGGATGTTAACGCGAAGTGGCTAGCAGTTCAGCCCTTTTGCGAAAACGGGCATACCGCCGACGCATTACACTTTTAGACTACACCATAGCATATAGCACATGACGAAATGATTTTTGTACTTTAAAATGGGATCAATGATGGTAACGCATTCGTTGTTAATGAGATATTAGCTTTTAAAGTGAAAAATTTGAAGTCGATTTTTACAGAGTACAGACTTGAAAAAAATATTCTGAAACGGCCACTTTAAAGATTCAAGTGTTAGAAGCTTATTATACGGACAGATTTTGATTGATAAAAAACAGAAAAGAAAAAAAATCGGGGTGCCAAAGAAGTGTTTGGGGCACTCTACCCTGGATATTTCTGACGATATCTGCCGAACAAATCATAAGCAGAGATTCTGTCCGTACAATAAGCTCAGGGTGCGATATTTTATTTAATGCGATTTTATTCGTATTTTTTGGCAACCAGATGTATCTGCAGCTGATTTTCAAAGTTTTTTTACGTTTTGTTCGCTGTCAGCTTGCAAAAATACACCTCTTTCACGGCTTTGGTGCCGGTACCGAGAGGTGCTGGCTGCCGCACACAAAAGCACATGCACATGTGGAGCGACGCAGAACAGGCAGGCAGCCATATAACATTCATGCAGACTGATGCAGTCATAGACGCTAAAACAAAAGACTGCAATCAGACGGCAGATTTGCGTTTATGGCGTCTTTTGTTTCTGTTTCTTGTCAACAAGCTCAACAAAACTGGATCGGGCAGTGGCAGATTCTGATCGCACCTGATTGCGATTACTTCAATGCCAACCACTGATGTCGGTGGCGATTGAAGGAATATGGCATTACTCACAATAAGTGCGGCGCAACCAATTATTGTGCTGTTCACCTTACGTGCCCCCCTCTACCAGCTGTACAACTTTAATTTTTTGCGTGTTAACGAAAAAAGATATACTCATTACAATTATCGTGTTATGTAGTATAAAAAACGCTGTGTAAGATGAGCCATGGTTATTTTTGGGAATTATTTTGAAAATTCGCTAGCCACTTCGCGTTAACGCCGTTAACATGGGGGCCGGGCGTATTTTTTCCATTCAAGAAAGTCGTTTATTTCGGAATGTGTTTTCTGTTTTTTTTTTACAAATTTTATCTTTACAATAGTTTAATGTGTTACTGCGATTGTTGTGCACTAAATGCTATGAATTTACAAATTAATTTGTGGGAATGACTATCGCATCTAATACGCGTTAAGCCGTTAACATCCCTGCCGGTACGTGTGCCAGCGTTAACATCCTAGCCCGGCACCAATCTTAACGGAGGTCATATGATGCCGCTCGATAACAGCCGCAGTAACAAGCAAATTCAACGCACTGTTGTACTAAAACACGCGCGATATCTGCGATTTATAATGTATAGCAAATTTTTACAGTTATTTGCCATGGTTCTGTCATGCCCCGTACTTGTGATTGAAAAACACTGAAACTTGTTTCCAGTGCCTATGTGTATCTAATAACTGGTTATTAATTGTGCTTTAACGATAATGATTTCGGATTTCGAATATTATTATGCAGGATCGGTTCGCTGGGAAAATACACCCTTAGCCTCGTTGAGTGCAAAAGTTCCCTCTTTCAAAACTGGGGCAAATCGGCAGGCAGAACCGGTCTCAGCATCCCTCAGCGAGCCACCCTTCACCACGCCTTCGTCGAGCCGTACATAGATTACTGTGCACTGGCTTGGTCAACGGCGTCTTCGGGAGAGCAGAAGGAGCTGAAGAAACGGCAAGACGCAGCCTTACGGACCATCACCGGCGGGCAGAAGGAGCTGAAGAAACGGCAAGACGCAGCCTTACGGACCATCACCGGCGGCAGTTGTCGGATAACACCGCAACTGTACGAGCAGCTGGGCATCACACTAGCGACCGACCGATGGCGGCAAAAGGAAGCGGTATGGCTGTACAAAATACGTAACCGGAGCAGTTTTAATGTGCCGCCTTACATGACCAACCTGCTGCCATTCAAGGAAACGAGTGCGAGGTACGAGCTTCGCCGTACAGAGCGGATCGATGCCACCACGCGGCTGTGCATCGGGAAGACAACCCTGAAGATGAGGCTGAAGAAGTTGTATGATAAAATAACGCGGAAAATGTTTACTACAATTGTCGATGGTAAGACTAAAAAACTACGTGGGGAAGAGGTGTTCGGTTGTGGTTCTGTTCTATTGAGCTTTACCTGGCTACTTTACGTTCAAATAATTTTCTGTAATATTATGTGACCTCGACTGTTCTACCATCTGAATGTTGTTATGTATTTGTTTTTTTTATTATTATCTGACCAGACTAGCGAGTGCCTCGGGGTTTGTCTGCTCTTGAATAAACTAACTAAACTAACTAAACACAGCAAAAACATTGTGTGTGCATAGTTTTTCGTGGCGAAAGACGATCGATTCGCACAGAAAATGGATATTATTGTGTTTCTTACTGTCGCGTGTCGGAAAGCACTCTTATATCTTTAAGACACATGCCGGGCCCGGATGTTAACGCCGTTAACGCTTAAGCCGACAAGCTTGTTTATGTGGGCATTCAGGTCCCGGACGTTCGGTATATACTACCCGGCTAGAAAATAACTGCCTAATTATAAGTGAAGCATACTAATTGTGGGAAACCGGGAAGCATACTAATTGTGGGATTATCTCTGGAGTAACTTCGTGTTATTCTTCACTTGCCAAAATTTCCTTCAGTGTGAGCGGTACGATACCGTCTCCACTGTATGTAAATCGTGATACCGATCATAAACATGCTTCCGGTTGCGCTACTGAAACTCCGCCAAGTGCAGAGTAGGAGTGCTGTAACGAAAAAACTATAGATAGCGTTTGATATAAAACGTACTCATTGTTAAAAAACCTGGGTCACCAAACTTCCATCCACCACATGAATAATCGGTGGCATTTTATGCCCATACAAGATCCGAGTTTCTTAGTTGAGTCTTCTTAGTGGTACAGTGTTTACGTGTACTACATTTTCTTAACTTAAGAACACATTTTATTAAAGATTTCCATTTCTCGTTAGCAAGCGTGATGCAAGATTTATAACTTGCAAAATAATTTTGTTTTTAAAAAATAGCGTTGAAGGCAATATCGCAATAAATATCCATCGTATTAAATATCGTATTAGGTAAATCCGGCATCTAAGTAAAACCCGTTGACGCGTGTGTAGCCTTGTGTTAACGCCGTTAACGTTCGAGCCCGGCACACATGTTAATGAGTTAACCGTTAGCATGTTAACAGTTTTGCCGGCTACACTCGGGGATCGTGCCCATTACGCATATCGCATTCGCGCGCTGCACCTGAAAGACCAAGCACTGCCGAAAAAACTCTTTGGCGCGTCTCTGGACAGTGGCAGAAATTATGCAGCTTCCAACCTCGTCCACAAGTTTCTTAGTGCCACCCCCCCCCCCACGGTCCGTAAGTCTCGAACGCCGCCGCAACGAAATCCAACACTAAACATGACTGTAGTCATCCTTCCAACTGGACGGCCAGATAAGATTCAGCCATTGGATATGAAAGTCTGTGGCTCTCTGGAAAAGTACAGCCGTGAATACCTCCGTATTGTGTGACCGAAGCACATCTGTCACAGGCCGATTGTTGCTTAAGAACTGAGCGGGGAAGTGCATATTTCGCGCTTTTCTGAGAAGCGTTAACGGCCTTCCGTCTTCCGTTGTACTTGCAAAACCTACATTATCTACCGAAACGATTCCTAATTCTTGTGAAAAGCATTTCCAGGATCCACTTGGATCCGCCAAATATTATCCTGGGTACCTGGATCCGCCACATGCGGTCCTGGGTACCTGTTTAGTTTCTATTGTTTACCACTCTCGATCAGCATCGTAGAGACCGCATCGCATAGCCATTGGATGGTCATCGCATCCAAATTAAGAAAATCTCGATACGTTAACGATCACTCTCGATTTGTTGCAAAATGTAGCTTACAGTTGCTAGTAATTTCATTTACATCGCTTTATATTGCAAACCAATAGCTTTGACCTTGCCTTTTTCAAGCTTACAAATGCTGTTTACGACAAACCCAGTTCGTTTTTTTCTTGCGGGTGACCGTTCGACGTGCTACTTATGTTAGCTTAAAACTATACATTACTAATAGGTATATAAAATCGATCCTGATGCAACATCTGTGACCTGTGCGATTTTCCGTCCAATAAGACTACAGCAGAATGTTTAACATGATCGCGATTTTAAGAGGTTGCATTTTTCTTCTGATTACAAACTCTGTAAGAGCACAGCTCACAACTAGACAGTGCAGTGCAAGTGCTGCCCTTATAAATTCCAGATGTTCTGTTACTAGCGACTTGACTGCCGTTGCCACATGCACAAAATTTTGTGCTTCATCATCACAGGCTTCCACTGCCTTGTACTCTAAATACTGTTCTTCCCCATCATCTTGCGTTGTCGGATCAGCATGTAACATAGAATCCTGCGATATAGATCTTTCTGGTCCATCCAGTGTTGAAGTCCCTTGTGATTATGGCTTGACAAACATTCCTGGAGCAGTGTTAACGGTACCAGCTTACGAACATCGTATTTAAGGAAAATTGTTTACCTGGATCTCGCGCTGCAGTATATGTTCGAAAACGACTTTGATTTGACAAATCAGTTATTAGTTATATGCCAGTTGTAAAATGTTGTGCATTTTGCTTATTTAGTTGACAAATGGATGCAGCACTAGCACGGCGAACAATTACGTTACTGCCGATTTGGTCTACAGCAGCAACTTGGATGGTAGACACCTTATCTTAGTAGATCCGACAACAGGAATAATAAGTAGATCCGGTGATGTTGTTCCGACTGAGAATATTACGCAGATTTATGAATTTACATTTTCTTCTCTTCCCAATTTGGAAGTTTCCCGTTCAGTCAACGTAACAGTAAGTGAGGCTTCCTTCCTTGTCTCGCTGCGAGATATCGATAATCTGAAAACTCTTCGCAGTTTCATTTTGGATCCTGTGTGCTTGGACTTGTGGGGCCAGACTCTGCAGTAGTGTGTGCAGCATATCCCCCTGGAACTGATCCTGGAGTGCCTCCTCGTCCTTATATGACTTACCCGCAACTAACGTATTATGTAAGAATCATTATAATTAAAGCAATCTCGTCACACTCTCCATCTGCTAATTAGGTGCGTAATTTTATACGGCAGCAGGAAATAGGACCCGAGAAAATCAGACAAGCGTGGCAAAACTATGCCGTTACATACTGTTGTGCCTTGACCAAATTAGACCACAGAACCAGCGTATGGTAAAGCAGAACAGCAGCAGCGAGTGTGTCACAACTCACAAGCGCGAGTATTGCTCGCGCCGAATACTTGGCATTATAGGCTCCATGTGTGTTGTTTTTTCCGTTTACATACCCTGTGTTCTAGCATGGTTGAGTGGCAAACGTTCCCCTCCGAACCCGTTCTGTTCACTTTTGTCTTTGCATTTCTATGAAACATTTGAAGGTTGTTTCATGAACATCCACTGCCGCTCCGCCAATGGCTTGGTATGTTCGATACTAGGCAGGAACTTGAAAATCGGTAGCCAGCGTAGCGTGACTCCTTGAAAAAGGATACTAAACACATTTCAACACACTAGGGTAGCACTTTCGGTCAGGCTCTGCAGTAAAATTTGTAGTTAAAAAAGCGCAGTCGCGACCTAGCTTCCGCTCAAATGGTTTCTCTTTAGAACAACCGCGATTTTTTAAACGCATACGATACAACCGTTTTTCAGGCTACCAATGTTCCACCGCTCATGTCAGTAACGTTTGACCTGCCAAGTGATTTCGGAGGGCTTGGTGCGGCAAACGGAAACTCCGCTGGACAAAACCTGGGGATTGATTCGCCCGCAATTGTGTCAGGAGATGATCCCAACGTCTGGGTCAGTAATTTTAACGTATTAGCAAATGTACCAGGTACCAGTACCGTTGGAATTTATGGCGCTGGTAACGATGGAAATTTACCTTGCGGTGGTGCAAATACAATTACAAGCACAAGCCCTGCGGCTGGAAGCTGTTGCCAAACCCTTCTGTTTTCTGTCTCACCTTCATTTTCCGAAACTCCGTATCAAACTGGAACGAAACAAGTCAAGGTAGGCAAAAGCAGTTTGTTAAATAAACAAAGTAACAAAATCGCACTTTTAACGGAATTTCACAATTAAATTTTACCATTTTAGGTGTGCTACGATAACACCAACACATGTACCATCGTCTAGATCCTGGGAATCGAGTGCACATTATTTACTGATCGGGATAATAACTTTTTGCTTTCGGAATGACAACGATACATAATGAAACCCTTATACCTTTCTTATGCCGTTATGAAACCGTTACAGCCTCCGGTTCTCTTAAATATGGCCGCGTGTTATATATGGAAACTCAAAACCTAATAAATTTGTCTAAGCTGGAACGCGCTGCAAAGCTACAGTAGAATTCCGGTAATCAAACAGAGGAAAACAACACTTTAGCTTAAAATATTATTTGAAACCTTTGGCACTAAAAATGCACACTTTGGCTAGGCACACACCGAGTAAATAAACCGGTGCATAAACGAACGCAGGTTTTTCAATTTTGCATGAGCGCAAGAAACTGAAGAAAAACACTTAACGTGACGCCGCATCGTGCGGCATTGCGAAGAAAATAGACTCCTTAATTACATAATGATTGCGAAAAAATTGTTGTCGAAATTGTTTACCGAGGTTTGTTTGATTGAGTGGATGCCTTTTGGGCCGTTGGAGCAGCTGGACAGCCACCTCGCATACGCGCATACATGTATTAGTCTGGCTAGCTGATCCAAGTCGCGGCTGCCAATTGATCTCTAAAACTTGCAGCATCCGTTTTTCTATATCTCCTTATTGAAACTTCCCAGTTTATATTTGGGAACAGAGAATAACATTTCAGAATTTTTTTGATTTCTTGAGTAGATATGGCCTCCATTTCGTACCACTCTAGAAAACCCACCCCCTTTTTTTGTTACTGTATTCCATGTATTCCTAAGTATTCCGGTTGTGTGTTCCTACTGCATTCTCCGCTAGCGATATACCGTAATATGTTTCAGTATTCTTTGCCAATGAGCATGTATTCATACGTATTCCGCCTGTATTCTGCCCAGACTCCAGCCGTAATCTAAGTTTTCTAATCCGGAGACCCACGAATACACTGGGAATACAGGCGGAATGCAGGAGAATACGGGACACACTAAAGAAAACAACTGTCATGTCTAAATTAAAGCTATAAAATGGAAATTTCCTCGCGAATACAGTAGGAATACAGGCAGAATACGGATGAAATACGTGGGAATACTGCTAAAGACTTAATGAACCTTAGTGAAGCAGGCGAGATTTATATATCTGTGGAGTGCCCGTATTCCCACGTTTACTACCTGTATTCTGCCTGTTTTCCTAAAGTATTTCCTAACTCTATTATCTAAACTCTATCACTGCTGTCTTCCTGCAGCATATTAGCGCATTGCCACGTATTCAGCCGGTATTCACCACGTATTTCTTGCTGTTCTAGTTAAAACCCAAGAAGCGTAAGAAAACGAAGAATACGTTCTAGAGGATGCGCAGAGTTTTTTATGTTGTTTGTTTATTCAGCTTAACGTCTACAACGATCAGGACAGGTTCCTGCATTAGGTTGTAGACTACCATAAAACAAAGACTTCACAAAATAAACAAAATTTACAACAATTTAAGATGATCAGTATGTAGGAAACGTTTAGTCCACTTGAGGTCTTTCCACTTGATGAAACGCGCTTGATGAAAGAGTCAAAACGCGGACTTACATCGAGCATCTGCGACTTACATCGAAACGAGAAAAAGGCGTACCAAGTCCCAGTTGGCTAGGCTTCGATGTAAGTCGCATTTTGCTCGATGTCTGTCGGTGGGCGTCAACGAAAACCGTTACCAAGATGGGCGTACCTTGTAACGGGTCTAAGCGACGCCCAGCTGCTTACAAACTTCGCGTTTCTGCGATCTTGAATGGTGGGTCAGCATTTTGAGTTAGATCGAGGCTGCCCACCGCTAATGACAAAATTCGAAACCACGTGATCGTTTCCCCATACTTTAACTTAGCGTCAGGAATACTGGCAGTAGAACAACGGGCTTTTACTAAGTTGATTTTTCAAATTTATTAGCCTCAATTACTGTGAAAAACTGAAAAGTTTCTATTCTGTATTGGGTTCATGCAGCAGGGAAGCCTGCTTTTCTGGGATTCCAGTTGTGGTCGGACAAATAAACCGTGTGGCTTCTGCTTTCTTAAGTGAGTTAGGTCTATCTAACTCTGCCGTGACTTGATGCCAAATTACCCGTGGCAGCATTTATAGTTCTGCCAAGTGTATTGCAGATGGACAGAGAAAGGCCCAGTGGCGTGCAAATATGCATCTGGGCTTTCTTTAAAAATCTGTAATGTTCTTGTTATTTGCTACAACCAGTGCATCGCAGGGAACCCTGCTTGCTGGCTACCCAGCTGGCAGAAATGTCGACTGCGCTGTATGTTTGTTCTTCGGTAGCGCTGGTACCCCTAATGCTGGATAGCACGCGTCTGGTATGTAGTAATTTTTTTTAAATAACTTAAACATAAACGCTAAACTGGGTTAGTTTTAATTTATTTGTTTACCGTAGAAGTGTAGGTTGCAGCAGAACGGTAACGTAAATTTGTTGTGGCATTGTAGTCTGTAATACAGCAGGTTCCCGCATTGATCTGGCTACCCAGAACAGTGTGAGTTGCAAGGATATGCTGAGTTGCAAGGATGCTGTCGAATCTCAACTTTGTTCTGCACTGTGTAAGTTAATGAATTCTATCGTGGCTGGCAAGGTGCCGGAGGAGCTGCGACCTGTTTTCTTTGGCGCGAACCTGATTGCCCTGTCTAAGAAAGATGGCGGTGTTCGGCCTATTGCTGTGGGTAACGTTTTACGAAGACTTGCAGCCAAGATTGTCACGAAGCAATGTGGTAAGAAAGCGAAGGAATTATTTACTCCTACTCAAGTTGGATGTGGCACACGCGGTGGAGCGGAAGCAGCTGTACACGCCGTTTGGAGTTTTATCAATGATGAGCACGACGGCCTTCGGGTTCTTTTTAAAATTGATTACAGAAATGCTTTTAACACCGTCCGCCGTGATGTTATGTTGCAGTCTGTATTAGAGCACTTTCCCGAATATTATCCGTTTGTTTTGAGTGCGTATGGAGCGCCTTCTACATTATCATGCAATGGCAGTGATGAGGATTTGTCTTCCGCCACGGGTATCCAGCAGGGTGATCCTATGGGGCCATTGCTTTATTGTCTCGTTGCACTTCTGTTCTGCATTAGCTTGTCCTCGAAACTGAGGGTGTTTTTCCTGGACGACGGTGCACTGGGAGGTACGGTGGAAGAAGTGGCGAATGACCTGACATCAATCATCGCCGCCAGCAGCGCCGCCGGACTGCAGTTGAACCCAGCGAAGTGCGAAATGCTCCCGATTGGTGGAAGTGCTCAAGAACGCGAGGTGGCCAGGAACAGGCTGCATTCAATTGCTCTCGGTGCGATTGTTTTGCAGCCTGAAACGGTAACGTTTCTTGGTGCACCATTAACTGACGAGGCCATAACCGACTTATTGCAACAGAAAATTGCTTCGTTGAAAATTTTTATAGAGCGCGTGCAATTGCTAAACGCCCATCATGGATTCTACATCCTGCGGAACTGCCTGTCCATCCCGAAGCTCATGTATACGCTGCGCTGTAGCCCTTGCTGGAAAGTGTCGGAGCTTCTGGATGAATTCGACAAGCACGTTAAAGAAGGCCTAGAACAGATTACTAACACCAAACTGGACGGACGTGTATACACGCAGGCTATGCTCCCTGTTGCCAAAGGTGGTTTGGGTGTGCGACGAGCGAAAGCATTGGCTCCTTCAGCCTTTTTGGCTTCCATGTTTGCAACTCGTCAGCTGACATCAAAGATCTTTAATGGCAGTAGCGAGCAGTTGGTCAATGATGCGTGTGAATCTTGGAAACTCGAGTCCGGTTGTGAAGAGCTACCTCTAGACCTGGCCCGTGTCCATCAATGTGTATGGGATAACGCCGTTATTCAGAAGGATGTCGACACATTGTGGAGGAACATTGGTGACAATAAACAGGAGGAAGCACGCTTGAGGGCAGTCAGCACTAAATACGCAGGGACTTGGCTTAGCGCTCTTCCGGCGAAAGTATTTGGCAATTTTTTGGACGACCAAACATTTCGCATTTCCGTTGGCCTATGGTTAGGTGCTAAAATTGTTGAGGGCCATTCGTGTACCAGATGTGGAAAAGATGTAGCAGAAAACGGTTATTATGGGCTTGCCTGTAAGAAGTGTATCGGAAGAAGGGAGCGCCATAACGGTATAAACGACATCATACTGAGAGCCCTCTGCAATGCCGGAATCGAGTCGTATCCGGAGCCCGTGGGTTTTCTGCGAGAGAACGGAAAACGACCGGACGGAGCCACAAGTTGGAAATGGTACCGCGGACAGCCGTTAGTGTGGGACGTGACGTGCAGAGACACGATGTGCGATTCATACATCGATGCGACTTCAAAGTGTGCTGGCGCCGCCGCCGAACTGGCTTGCCGGGAGAAGATTGGAAAATACAAGTCGCTTACTGATCGCTGCAATTTTGTCCCCTTTGCATGTGAGACTTTTGGCACTTGGTGCGAGACCGGCATTGTTACGTTAAAGGAGATTGGAAAGAAGCTGTTTTTAAGGACGGGCGAGAGCCGCTCTACTTGTTTTTTGTTTCAGCGTTTAAGTTTGGAAATAATGCGTGGGAATGCCATGAGTGTGTTATGTACGGTCCCTTCTCGTGCCAACTGGGACAAATTTTTCATTTGAATGTATTTTTGTAAGCGATGCTCGTCTCCGTACATATTGCAAATAAAGTTTACATCATAGGAATACGTGGAATAAAATCTTCAAAAAAATTGGCCAATTTTATAGAGTGGTACGACATGGGCTATAGGTGGGCTGAGAGTAGGTTTTCATGACGAACCAAGAAAGCTATGTTTGTTTCGGTTTCTCATAGACATAGCATGGGTTCGTGCGATGGAGGCGTTGCTTGCACCCTATGCTTTGTCTACCATTGTTTTCGAGTGTCTATGCGAGCCTAGCCCAGACCTTGCACGCAGCATCGACCAACAGTTACATCTGTATGTGTTGCATTTGGACTGACTCTCACACGTGTGCGACCTGTATGACCAGGGACTTTTTTAGGCAACACACGACACATCAATCCATTTTCACAATAAAACGACTGCAGATTTGGAATTAGCATTTTTTTATCTAAAAAAACTATCCCACCTCGAAAAATAAAGTGTCGCCCCTAAGGGGTCCAAACGCCCACAATGTACCATCACCTAAGACAGTCGCAGGGAAAATGCTGTTTTTCGCGTTTTGGCAATTTTTATGGTCAAATTAACTGCGTTAATTCCGAATCTGCCGTCAGAAAAAGTTTTGTACCTCTCAGTCACAAGTTTTGCAACTTCATAATGAGGTTGGACTTCCCACGAAAAATTTAAAGATTTTGTGACCGAGCGGTACCAAAATTTTGCTGACGGCAGATTCAACCAAATCTGATAATTCAGAATTTGCAACCGGTTCATCGCGAAAATGGATTGACGTGTGGGGTGTTGTCCAAAAAAGCCCCTGTGTATGACTGCAGACTTATTTGAAGCTTTGAGAGAAGTATGTTACATTTTACAAGAACCCGAAAAGCGTAGAAGGATAAGCAGTAAACTGTTTTTGTCGTATTTAGTTATTGCAGTAACTGCCCTACACAAAAATACGTCATCCGCAAAGATAAAAATTTTGCCATTATTGTGCAGAACACTTGCTAATATGTTATAACGCAAAGGAAGAGAACCGGACCTAGGATAGAGCCTTGCGGTACGCCACTGGTAACTATTCCACACTCAGTAAAAGTATTACTAACAACAACAATCTGCCGACGCTCTTTCAGATAGCTGTTCAAAATGTTTATTATACTGCTTGGAACACCGAACGATCGCAGCGTTTGGATTATTGAGGAATGGTCAACTTTATCGAATGCTTTCGAACAATCAGACACTGCAACTTAGTACTTCGCTTGGCTCGGTAGCCAAATTGAAGGTCAGTTAATAAACCGTTTATTTCCAGAAAACCCCTTAAAAAATTAGCAATGCAGCGCTCAAAAAATTTAGATATGGGTTGTACATAACTTGGCAATTGGGCGATAATTGTTTACAGTTGTTTGGTCACACGAATGTTTTGGCAAAGGCATTACAAAAAACGTTTCCAAGCGACAGGAAATGATGAACTTTTAATGCACAAGTTAAACAAAAGGGAACAAAAGCACTAAAGAAACGATAATTGTTTTACCGCATGCTTTCAGTAAAAAATTTGAGAATTTAAAAGGGCCGGTTGATGATGAGAAATTGCATTGCTCTATCACAAGCAGTACTTGTTCGTCTGTAACTGCAAAATCAACCGGTGTTTTCTCCACGCTCGACTGCAACGAAGTACAATGGTTATCGCACCTGTTCTGTGATTGCGGAAATACTTGATTAAATTTACTGGCTTTTCTGCATAAGAAAACAAAATTTGTCCGGCTGGGCATTTTAAAGGTGGAAGGGACCTGTTGTCCTCGCAGCGCTGTATGTACTGCCAGAACTTCTTCGGGTTATTACAAGGTGATGTCGCTACTTCTAACACGTTATACCTGCTGTGAGCTTTTAACAGAGAAGTGGGCTTTCTTGAAGACTTTCTCCAAAGTAATTTCGCACGATCTTTTTTTACTGGACATTTTTCGTTAAAAAATTTCCGATATAGTCTGTTTCGCCTTTTTAAAATTTTTAAAATCGGAGATGGACAGTTTTTAAGCTTTCTCTGGTTACTTTCACCAAAAACAAAGAAAGATGCGCAAATTTAATAATTTCGTTTTCTACCTGAATAGAGCATTACATGGGTGAGGCGCCGCGAGAACGACCTACCAGTTCGTTGCAGGCAGAGCGTTTTGAAAAGGTATGACTTTATTTACTGGGATGTTCCATGTCAGAGACCGCTAACTCGAGGCGGTAGACACCTATCGGCTATCGTGGCTTGCTCTGTCGCCCGCACGCAGGTGGCCTTGCCACTCGTGCCGCTTATACACGCTGATTACTCAGCGTATACTTTGTCTACGCTGACCAATCAATCAGCGCATTCGCTATGTACTTTTGGAGGTGTGGCAGGGCTTACGAGCAATGCCATTTTGCGGTATAAACTGTTACGCAGCTGCAGCACGCCGCGACATTATCACGATTTCACCGAGCTCGCTAGCAGCCACTTGTTCCACAGCTTTTCCGCATTGGTTTTTCTGTTGGTTTTTGGTTGCTTTATTGGTACACAATAAAGGAGATCGCAAACTTTCATCCCTGCTTCTGTGTCGTTCTGACATGGTAGCAGTATCGTTCGGTTTTCTTTCCTCGAACCTCTGAACCCCCAGTGGAGGCATGACTCGGTCAAAGGAATCACGCAGCGACTAAAAGTAGTCCTGTGTCCTGCGACCTAAAAGTGGTCGTCATTCATCTCTTGCATCATACAGGCTTCATTGGAAGCCTGCAGCGCGACGGATTCACTCATACGGGCGTTCGCCTTTAAGTAGGCGCCCCGCGACTTGGCTCCCGCGCAAAAGCTGCGCAGGAACGATCCAGACCCAACTGACGCCCTATCGGGTGCGCTGCGGCACTTACGGTAGAAAAGGGTGAATCGGACGACGGAGCAGCAGTTTGGAACGAAAATTCCGGTAAGAACTGCTGTGGCGTCGTAGGGAACTTCGTAAAATTTGGGAGTTTTACGTAGAACATTACTTTAAAAATTCATAACTTTTGAACCTTTCATCCGATTGGCTTGAAAGTAGCTTTTTCGGAAAGAGCATGAAAAGGTACGCTAGAGTTGCATACCTTTGCTTTCGAGAAACTATTTCCTGAATGCTAGCGAATTTTTTCGGCGAAAAACAACCGCCATTTTATCCAGCCAGAAATTTCGCGAAAAGTCGCGTGACGTTAGTATGGTTTACTTCCTTCAAGAATTGACCAATCAGAATACGTGGAAAACTTCTCTATGTTGTAAGACTCGTAATAAGTTACGTTGTTTTTTAAATTTTGCTCACGGCACGCTACTCGTGACGTAGATCTTATCGCAAGACCATTAAGTACGTGACGTCACACTGGTCAGTAACGTAACATAGGGCCATAGGCAGCTAACGCTAAACGTGAGCTCTAGCGTTCCTGATCAGCACCGACCCGCGATCCAGAGCCAACGTCCAAGTCCAGACCAAAGAAATTTTCTACCAAAGAAAGTCCTAATACCATGGGCCAAACTCACAACGCCTTGGCTAAGGTGATGCCATACACCAGCCATGAACCAAACCAATGACTACGCCAAGCCTTTGGGCAAAAATTACTCAAAGCGAGGCACGGTGGGGCGATACACATTCCGCACCACCGGAAGCGCTGACTCCGAACCGGACCAGCCAAACTCGACCGGCACAACGAGTTCGGTCGAGGCCAAAAAAAGGCGGGACCAACAAATCCTGCCTCCTGACTTGGACGCAGGTGAGGAAAGCCTCGACGTTACCCTGGATGATACATTCCTAGAGGCACGCGAGGCACTGTCCGAGGCCAACTCGCCTAAGGACAGCCAACCTGGTGCTGATAACTCGGCCCAGGCCAACAGCGTCCCTCGGGACTTGGCGCACCAACCGGCCTTACCTGGTCCGGGCCAAGTCCAACTTGAGGCACCAACGGTGACCACAAATGAGGACAAGACACGACACAGTAGACCCGGTGCTGAGAATTTGGCCCGGGCCAACCCTGTGGCCCAGGATCTGACAGCAAGTCCAGCCCTACCGGGTTTGGACCAGTTCCAACCTGAGTCACCGACAGCGACCAAAGGTGGGCGCAAGGCGCAGGACCAAGGCCAAAAGCCTGGTCCAAAGGCACATGACCTGGGCCAACCGCCCGCGAGTAGGTCGCCAATTATGTTTGAAGCTGATGGCTCGAACAAAACAACGCCATCGCCAACCAATGATATCACGGACGCGACTGGCCGGACCAAACAGGACCCGGACCATCCGCCATTAGATCTGGGACATTTGACGAGCACCACAATGAGGACTGACTTGAACCAGTCATCCTTGGATATGATTCGCGCCGCGTTTAGCCCAGACAAGCTGATCCAGGCAACCCTGCCCGAGGACATCGACAACATCGAAGTCCTCAGGACCAGAGTGCGGGACCTGACCAAACAGCTTGTCGCCGCAAATGATGTCGCCCTCTCAGCCGAACAACTGATGGGGGAACAAATCGACAAGTACAAGACCCTTGCATCCAAATCGGATGCAGAGGCCAAACGTATCTCGGCCCTACAGGCCCAGACCCAACTTGAGTTTACTAAACTCAAGTTAGCCCCTTGTCCAGACGCCGAGCGAGACCACCTCAACAAGGACATCCATCGCCTAAAAGTGGCGGTGGCGGGACTTGAATTTATACTCGCCTCAACGAGGACCGAGTTGGCCCTGGCCAGGACTGACCAGACCCAAGCAAGAGCCACCACTGAGCAACCTGACGAAGAGACAGACCGTCTCCAGACAGACAACGATCGCCTAAACGACGATCTGGCCAACTAGCAGGACGAGATCAACCGCCTGCGGAATGGACAATCAGACAACAGAAATTTGCCCAATTGGGGCAGGCCTTCACCCAAGCCAAACTGGTGATCCAGGGCCAACATGATCGGATCATCAACTTGGAGGCCAACAATGCCGGTCTGGTTAAAGATTACCAGACGGCCACCCAACGCATCACCGAACTTAACGAGGACCTGGAAAAGCTAAGCACGGAATATGCTTGCTTAGATGCGGAAAAATCACATCTCGAGA